AAAAAAGGTATATCCATAAATAGCTTGATTTTTTTAGATTAAATTATCAGATCTCTAGATTCAGAGCTTTCATTACCTACTACATAATAAAATAATCTTTTTAAAAATTTATGAATTCTAAAATTACAAATGTAAATGTATCAACAGGTCATGCTGATATAAAAGTTTATTAATAGTTTGTTAGCATAATATTTATTTGAACTTTTTTATTATATATGCATCTCAATTGTTATAATATAATGTAAAATTTGATTAAAATATTTTGTGATAAGAGTTTGGCTAGACTCTGGAGTAAATAATTCTTTTTCTACTATATTCTCTAGTTTTCTTAGTGAAAGTATATATATTTTATAATTATATGATCAGGTATCTATAGATTCCCTTAGACATTCTCAGAGCTTTCATAGCCTTCTATAAATAAGATTAATTAAAATTTTTGGTAATTAAACCTTCATTATAATTTTATTTGATTACAAATGCTCTGATCATACAAATTCCATGAGAGCTAGCATCATCATCGTCTTACGCATATTCAACAAATATGGGATTAAATTAATCTTCTTCGTTATTATTTAGTGCTATTTCATCTTCCTATTCCCAATCAAATACCATAAACTTATCAAAATATTTAATGATTAATACTTGTCACCTCACCCCGCACATTTTATAAGATAGAGGCTATCATAAAGTGTAAATCTTTTATAAAAAAAGGTGGTGTCATTTTCTTCCATCAATGTAATCACCTTTCTCATGATGCCCTTTCTATACACTCAACGTTTAATTGCATATCGCCTAAGCGCAAACACTTTTAAATGCGGAAAAACCCTGCAATTTTATGGCATAATGTTAAATTATATTTATAATTGCGAATCAGTTAAAAATATCGGATAAATGCAAAATATTTTAGGTCCCATTTATATGACAATAACTTTAATTTAATCGTAGAAGTGAAAAAATAAAATAATTTTATCGAAAACAATTATTCGTGATATTTTTTAATACAAAAATGGTAAATTTATTATAATTATAATCATGCTAAAATTATTTTTAGAATAAAACATCATTCCAAATGTTAACTCTCAAGCAAAAGGGGGAAATCATTGAATTATTTAAGTACTACTCAATGATATATATATCATTGGTACTACTTCAAAAACACAATTAGCGTTAAGTTATAAATGTCATGTTTCTATAATTTACAGGAAGCTAATAAAGCAAGTATATGCTAACAATTTCTAACAAATAAACCCCCTACAAATAAAAGATTTAGGATAAGTTGTTACCCAAAAACAGAAGCAGTTTTATTGGCTTGATTTACCCAAATGCAAAGTAAAAATTACAGCTAAATGGGACAGTGATGTTAAAAAACTATGTTTTTTAGCCAAACATTCAATGAAGGTAATTATAAGTTTGATGTATAAAATTATGAGCATTCTTATTAGTAGCTGGTTGTAGAGATTTAGGAAAAGTCAGAATATAAATTTTCATAATATTTACAATGAAAAGGGGAGTGCAGATTTTATTAATACAAATGAATATAGCAAAAAAACACTCCCATCTCTCATTAAAGATTATCAAAGGAATAATATTTACAATTGTGATGAAACAGAACATACGATCGAGCATTATCAAAGAGCACAATAAGTCTAATCACTGGGCTTAAAACCAGAAAGAAAAAGGTATCAGTTCTATTTATCACAAATGGGGATGGATCTGATAAAAAGTTTTATGTTGTTGTAGGGAATTAAAAATCGTAGGTGCTTTAAAAATAAAAAGTTACCAGTAAAATACTATTCCCATAAAAGCAGCTGGATGACAACCTCAGCTTTTGAAGATGTCCTAAGAGAAAGGGATTTCTCATATGTCACAAAACAAAATTAACATTTAATAATATTAAATTTATTTTATTACCAGCAAATATAACATCCCTAATTTAACTTTTGGACATCTAAATCTAACCCTAATCCTAACCCTAATCTTAACCTTAACCCGAACCTTAACACTTAACTCTACCCTAACTTTAACCCTAAATTTAACCATAACAACCTAACCCTAATTCTACCCTAATCCATAACCCTAAACCTCACTCTAACCCTACCCTAACCTTTACCTTAACCCTAACCATAACACTAACCATAGGCGTAGCCAGGGGGAGACAAGGGAAAATTCCCCTCCCCCTTCAGAAATTTATCACTTTTTGTGAATATCATTTTAAGCTAATAAAAAATATCCCACTTAGTCCTCCCCCCACTCCCTGACCCTCAAAAATGTGTGCATATATCTTAAACAATAATTTGGAAGAAAGAATGTAAAAGTTGATATTTTTTTATAAAACTATTCATTATAATTTATACTTTTTGGAAAAAAGCATTTATATATATCAGAGACCTGCAGAGGTACCATTTGTACGGCCCGGCCCGGATTAAAAATTTTTTTACGGCCCGTCCCGGGTTTAAAAATTTTAGGATGGCCAATTTTTTAGGCCCGGCTCGAAGTTTTTTAAAATTATATTCGACCTGATATACACAAAAAATTGATTATTGCGTATTTTATAATATTTTTCGGCGAGTATTATCATTTAATAAGCAAGTATATTAGCTAATGTTGTTAAACGGCTCGTTTTGAGCCGATTTTTAAAAACGGCTAACTCAATATTTTCGCAAATATTGACTAAGCCTCGAAATTTCGATACTATATGTCTAGATCTTTACTCCTTCTATGAGCAGAATTTTCAGGCTTGCATAATATTTTTCTGGATAAAAAACTGAGTTAGCTGTTTTTAAAAATCGGCTCAAAACGAGCCGTTTAACAACACTAACATATTTTTTTTAAAATTCTAAACAGTAGTATATTACAAATTGATACTATAAAAAATTTGTGTAAATATATTTTGAGAATATACTATGTATTTATAAAAAAATAAAAATGATAATTCAATTAATAAAAAATATAACATATTTATATATTATTTAATCCTTTGCGTATTTATTCCATGGCAGGAAAACTATAATTTTATTATGTAATAGATACTATGAGTGTTAGCTAGTGTTAACTTTCACCAAACATTATATTAATCATAACTATGTATAATCATTATAACCATATCTAATTGACGAATATTATAATTCATGTTGTATAAATTTTTTAAAAAGGCCCGGCCCGGATATTTTTTAAAAAAAAATTTTCAGGCCCGGCCTGGGTTTTTTTAAAAAAAAAGCCGGGCCTGCAGGTCTCTGATATATATAAAAGTCAAAAATGTTTTTAAGAAAAGAATATAAACGAAAGATAGTCATCCATATAATTACTAAATAATATAATATATCAAAATCAAATATAATTTTTTATAAAGTGAGTAATTTTAATTTATTTATCTTAATAAAAGTAACATATAATTATAAAAATATTGATAAAATTAAATCATAAATTAAATAAAAAAAATTAAAGCACAATACAAACAGTGGAATATTATATGTCGTAGATTTACAGTATATCTAATTTTATCAATTATCATATGACAATCAAGAAATTTTTACCAATATAGCGAATTATATATTTTACAGAAAACTATAAAATATTGATAAGGACATCAGAAAATATTTTTGAAGACATTGTGGGATAAATAATATAAAAATTAATTTTAAATATGAATTATTTTTGAAAATAAATAGATGGCTTTAAATAATTGAATGCAAATTGTTGTAATATTTATTATCAAGAGCTTTGATTAGAAAAATTTGTTAAAATATTAACTGTAATATATTCTCTAACTGTCAAATATGTCTGTAAAAGTATAATTTTACCTAGTATTATTTAACTAATTTTATATAATAGAGGAATATCAACTATATGTCTACTAACTTTTTAAATAAATTACTTATACTTGTTTGGAATAAATTATTACCATGCTTTTATATTAATGTATATACAAGTAATTTATTATATTTTATATAAACTAATAAAAATATATTTCATATTTGTTCCAGGCTTATATTTTAATTAAAATTAACCTCCTATCTTATAAAATTATTTTATGACTATATATAAACTAAAGTAACACGGCCGAAGGCCGGGTAAAAGCGGGCCGAATGCCCTTCCAAAATGTGGTAAGGGGGCGAAGCCCCCAGTAATTTTTTAATCCTCCCATTAGGAAAATCCTGGCTACGCCTATGACCGTTACCATAACCTTAACCCAAACACTAACCCTAACCTCAACCCTAACCCCAAACTAGACCATAACTATACTAACTCTAGCCCTAAGCCCTTATCCTAAGCCCTAACCCTAATTCTAACCATCCTAACCCCAACTCAAACCCTAACTCTAACACTAAGCCTAACACTTACCCTATTCCATGCTCTAACCGTAACCTATACCCTAACCTAACATTCATCCCAACCCTAACCTAACCTTAACCAGAACCCTAACCCTAATCCTAACCTTAGACCTAACCCTAATTCTAACTCTAACCTTAACCCTAACCTAACCCAAACCATAACCCTAATCCTATCCCTAACTAATAATTTAAAAAAATGATAGATGGTGTCCATAAGACAAATGACCCTCCCCTCCACCCATTGGTCATATACATTCTGATGGCTGTGCCGATATTTTATTTGTTGATATTTTTTTCACTTATTTATTTAATAAATAAAGGAAAGTTCCAATACCTTAAAAACTATTTTATTAATAACTTTAATCACACAACTTTGTTTAGAAATATGGAAAACGGTTAGATTTTCTCATTTTAAATTGAGATTTTAGTCAAAATAAAATTGCGCAAACCTCGAGATTTCATTAATAGATGCCCAAACTTTTTTCCCATCCAACAAAATCTCAAGGCTTGCATAATATGTTCATCTAAAATATTGGATTAGCCATTTTTTAATAATGAGCCGTTTAATAACAGAGCATTTAGAGTAAGATAGGGATGTGGTAATTATTTTTTAAATTTCACTCCAATAGGTTAGGTGTAATTTTTAAAATTTTCATACCTCCTAAAAAAATGGAAAATTTTGACTGGCTAAAATTTTATACTAAATGTTTTCCATGTGATGGCAACAATATTGATATTCTAGAAAGTCCTCAATTATTCTATGAAACATTAAAAGTTATTTAATTATAAATAATTAATATGTTGTATATACATTAGGAAAAGATTAAAAGTTCAAATAAACGTATTGTTTGGTCATCTCTTTATTTGGGTACTGGAAAAATGGAAAAAGAATTAGTAACTATTTATTATTTTAACTCAATAAACAAAAATACTCATTACTGAAAAAGCTATAATATAAGATTTATTATAAATAAATTCATATAAGATTTGTAATTTACTTGGGTTATAATATATCTTGACTTTGCAAGCCATTTTAAGATTGGGATTTTATCTTTTTTAGAGAATTAGTTATAGAATTTTTTATATAATATCTGCTACTCAACCTTTCTATTAGAAAATAAGTTCTACTTGTACTAAATTCTTAGTTTTAATTAAAATGTTAATCAAAGAGGAGGTAAATCTACATTGGCTGATAAATTTACAGTCTTTTAAATATAGTTTTAAGTAAATAAAATTGATACCCTTACATTCCTTTAAAGGAATAAGATATGTATTTATAGACAACATTATTTTAAAATAAGTAAAATTAGCTCCCTCCCCCATAAAATGACGGCTACTTGGTAATTTATCATAAAGATTGGTCTAAATCTGTCCATTAAAATTTATAAAAAACAACATTTGACAGAGCTCAGCCTGTAATTTTTTTAGCCTTACCTAAAAGAATAATTTAGATAAGTTCCCTGCTATGTTAAATTTTTTCCCCCTGCCTGGTTTGTCATTTTTTAATTAAGGGAAAATAATAAATTTACATCATTTAAGGTTTAACAAATTTAGGGTAGCCCAGCTTGGAAAAATAATTTTCAACAACTATATTTAAAGTGTCAAACATTTTGATATAGGCTTTGTTCAGGTGCAAGGAAGAGAAAATTATATAGATTCAGTTTAATTAAATTTTATAAATGTTCAGGTTCAAAACTTTTAATGAAGATTTATAAAATTTCAGTAATTATTATTTTTTATACAGAGTACCAATATACAGCTCTATAAATTATTTTAATCTTATTTTATGATAAATATAAAAAATTAAAACACAATTTAAAGTTACCCAATAATTTTATTGTCAATTTTTATCTGCATATAAAATCATGTATATAATTAAAAAATCTTATATATATTTGTCCAATCTTGTCTTTGCTGATAAAATATATTTCATTACTGAATTATTTTTCAACCAAAACCTTTGCAGATGGGACATACATTAGTTTTGCTATTAAATAGAGTTCGGATTGCTCTAATTTTCTTCTTTCCCAATATGCAAGAATATACTTTTTATAAATCTATAATGATATCTAGTAAAAGTAATAGCTTTTATTTTGTATTATGGGATATATTTGACATTTGCTATTTTTTTCATTTGGCTTGTTCCATGTAAATTGAACAAAAAAACACGATTCTCTGTTTACCTCTTTCATTTTTGATAAAAATCCATATATAAACTAAGATTCTTGTAATCAATACTTGGGCAAAATTTTAACCTTCTAGCTTTTATATTTTTGAAAATATGCACTCAAAGCATGAAAAATACCTTTTCTGCAAATGTCCTTTATTTATTAATTGATTAAAAATTACATCCTGATAACGAAAATTGGGTAAAATCGATTTTTATGAAACTTACTATTACCATTCTATATGGATATAGAAAAATTTAGAGTAATACCACTTCCTTTATCAAAATCGATAAAACCAGTAAAAAATGTAAAAATTATTTTTTTATATAGATGGCGTTTAATTTATATGAGCATGTATTTTTACGATTATTTCTATATAATAACTTTTTTACGACATTCCTATTCAACAGGAGAACTATATTTATACTATGGTATACTATATTTTATTATGAATTAACTTATATTTTTATATATCATACTAACATTTATGTTTCCATATAATATAAATATGGGTGTAAATCCGTTTCATAATATAACACATGTTACATTGCCATGCATCTTCCTAAAAAATCTAATATGATTTAGAACACATATATCTAAATAATCATATAATAATTACTTCGGTTGCATGCAAGGTTTCCTGCCAGAAACGTGTGTTTGAATATCTCCTGTCGGCCTTGATTGTGAAACTGTGGTTTAAATTTACGACATAGGTAGGTAAAGAGTGTTTATATTCCTGGAAATTTAAAAGGCTTTTCCATTCTTTTCCATGAGCAAAGTCAACCATCAATCTGAATTATATATGCATGTCACATAGCTTGATCTATTTTCAAATGTAACACCAAATTTTCTAATATAGTGTCTATCACACTCGAATACATTTTTGACATAAAACGTTTCAATGAGGAATCACTGCATGTATTGTTCCTGTGGTCTTTCCTTCAAAATCGATGTTTAAGAATAATTTCCTCTGCATTATACTTTATATCATGAATTCAAACTGCCGTTTATATTATGTTTTATATATTTGTACAGCTCCATTGGTGATGAATATTTGATCAATATACAGCCTCTGTAAACTGGCTCTTGCACTAGCCTTTTCACTGTGCCTCCAACAGCGTCGCATGCACTTTTTTCATGTGCAGTGGCTGAAAAGTGTTATTCTGTTGGAATGCCAAAATCTTTCATGTGATGACATATATTTGAAGTTTTTTTATTTTTGTATTTAGCCGCTGACCTGTCAGAAAAATAAAAATAATTCAGGGTATCGCGTCAAATTTATTTTTAATGATGAAAAAAGTGCAATGCTATATATCATAACAAACGATAGTGTAATATCTTTGTTATAAATAACAAACGGATGAATTATTGCCTATAATTGGCCTGATAATAATTTTGCACTGAACTGAATAACAAAGCTATAATTCTCTTCAAAATCATGTATATTTAAAAATTCGCCGTCTCTTAAACTTGATTTAATAAAATTTTTATAGGCGGACTGCTGACTAGATAGAAAGGAATAATGCCAATATTTTTGTTTTTGCCAATTTTTAATAACAGCGATTGCAAATCTTTTCTTCTTATTAAATTCTCTTTTTTTTAACCATTTATGGTTAGGAATATTGAGTGGATTACAGCATTTAGTCTTGAATAGGAAAGACTAGAGAAATTATAAAATAGAAATAATCCTAAAAATACATTATTAAGAATATTAGACTTATAAAAATATATTTTTTATTTTTTACTGGTTTTTTTATCGGTTTTATTTGTGAAGTCATATCGGTTCCACTCTAATTTTTTTATACTCATTTAAAATGTTAACTAAAGTTTCATAAAAATGGATATTACCCATTTTCGTTATTAGGATTTGAAATTTTATTCTGGGGAATAAGAGGTTTAGAAATTTTAAAAATAACTTCTTATTTTTTTTACTTATATTTCTAAAGATAAAAAGTATACTCTTTATTTTAATGCTAATTGCGATTTTTATTCATAAATTATTGAATATAGACACTCGCAAAAAGGCATTTTTTTATGCTTTGACCTTAAATATCTTCAAAAGTTTAGAAGCTAGGAGGCCAAAATTTTGCCCAAGTATAAAATTACAAGAATCTTAGTTTATATATAAATTTTAATCAAAATTGAAAGAGGTCGGCCAAACCGTAATTCGTATATATTAAATGAATGACCATTTGCAATAAGGATTAACGATTGTCCTTAGTGGGGTAATTATTTGAACAACTAATTGAAGGAAGTGAATTATATATCACATACATCAATTACGTTTTTTTAAGATATATATTCCTTGAATTTATTATAGAAATTAACAATTTGTTAAACGTTGTATTAAGTTTCTTTATTTCAATTGCACATTTTGAGAGAAAAATAGAACTCACCGTATATATTTTTTAAAACAATTGTTGCTATACTTCTTATTTTTATAATTGTAAATTATTAGCAATAAAATATATATTAGAGACCTGCAGAGGTATCATTTGTACGGCCCGGCCCGGATTTTTCCAAAAATTATTTTCGGCCCAGCCCGGGTAGTTTTTTAAAAAAATATTCAGGCCCGGACCAGATTTTTTTAAAATATATTTTATTTATTTTTGATTTTTATAGCTAATCATGGCGATTTCAAATATTTGGTTTTTAAAAATATACGGCCCTGTCCGGATATTTTTTTAAAAAAATTTTTAGGCACGGCCCGGGTATATTTAAAACCAGGGTTAGGGCCGGGCCTGCAGGTCTCTGATATATATAACAGATTACATTATATTAATAGTTTTAAAAAACAAATTACATAATTCATAATATTTTTAAAAGATTTAAATTTTTGCCATATGAACAAAATCTCCAAGCCTACATAATATTAATTTGGCTAAAATCTTGATCGGGCCATTTTTAAAAATACACAAATCGGGCTTTATAACAACACTTCTAGAGATAAATATGCTAAAGAAATAAGATGACAATTAAAAAAATAGTTTATTTCATTTATTTAAATTACATTGCATAATATTTATAAACTTTTATTTTGAGGAAGTTGTACTCAGAATGTTATTATTTAAAATAATTTTGGCTCTATTTTGTTAAATATTTCTCTAACAGAAATTGAAAATATTAGCAGAATAAATTATCCATTTTATGAATCCATAACTAATTAGTTGATATAATTTTAAATTAATTTTAAAATCACCTCCGCTTGGGTTCACAGTAGTTGGGTTTTGGACAAGACCTGAAATTTTTTAATTTTATATGTAATTGATTTCATTTATTCAAATTTTTTTTAAGTTTAAAAAAAAATGTCTTAATTGATTAAAATTATAATGGCATTGATTTAGATGTTCACCAGATATGTTTGTTGAGATTTAATTCATTATCTTTAAAATCCAAAAGTCTTGCCTATTCTCATTTTAAAATAAATGTGATCTTATTATGGATCAATTATTTAATTATATAATCTATATTGCAGAGTTGTTAAAGTAGCGGGCTATCTTTTTTGGTAGCGATAGCTAATAGCGCGCTACTTTTTTTCCAATTATTTATTTTTTTTAAAGTATCTAATTAGCGCGTTTTAAAAAATAATAGTGAATGTAACTATAAACATGAAAATTTATATATAATATCATAATTAATTATTATTTTTATAATTTATTATTTTTTTAAAATTTATATTTTCAATTTGTATTATAAACCTAAATCTGGTATAAATTATTTAAAATG